TAACCGCAATGTGTTATTTGAAAAATGATATAGGCACACATATATATCTTTTTTTTCGCCTTATTGTTAATCAAGTGGATTAGTGAACCGGAAATGGATTTCAACATGTTTGAGGAATATACTTATTTTATGAATTGTAAGATATTAAATTTTTGTCGTTATCTTTTGAAATCATTTATAATTTGTATGGAAAAATCTTATGAAAAAATCTTATGGAAAAACCTAATGGAAAAACTTAATATAAATTAAGTTAAGTTCAAAAAAGGTTGAAGGTAAAAAAAATTGTGTGACATTCATAAGGTAGGTTATTCCAAACATGATGGAATCCATTTCCGGTACAAAATCAGATTTTTAATAAAGAATTTAATGTTGAGAAATCGATACCATTACAAAACATTTAGATTATTATACTCCATTTTTAGAAAAAGTCAATCAAGCAGTTCAATCATTTTCTAACCTTTCACCCCCCTTACTATGTTAAATTAATTAAATTTATTCAATTTTAATTATTTAAAAATATTATCTTACATATTTTTGTTAAAAAGAAAACACAAATAAGGAATCTAGGAGAATTGATATTTTGGAATTTAGATGAAGACACAAAGTGTAGCATCAAGAATCGATCTTTATCATCCTATTGGAGTAAAATAAAAATGTAAGCAGAATATGCACAGCTAGGCAAATATTCGAATATAATATTTGAATTCATTCTTAAAAATAACTTCATCCATTTCCTAATTCGGTCTAATTTTGCTATTAAACAGCTGTTTAGTATAGAACTAAAAAAGGTGTTTGATCGATCCAGCCTATTTTTGGTTTATTTCTAAGTATTGCATTGCATTCTAAACTCCCGCAACCTTCATTGGTTTTAAGTTTGTCCGTCATCCAATCAAACTAGCAGAAATGGATTTTAATGAGAATATCTTAAGAAGTTGTTTTTTTGACTTTAATTAATATATATATGTGGGGATAATTGGGAAGACAAATTTCAAGAACGATGATGAGGTCATCTAAACAGTTGTAAGAATTTTGTAAGGCATAACGCATAGGGTTTCCAAATTTATATGCAAAATAGCACTTTCTATAGGTCAACTATTATGGCATGAGAATATGTTTTTTCCCCATGTATATCAAACAAAATATTTTAAATAATCATTTTCATATAAATTTATAAATAATTATTATTTTTTATTTATTGGAATTATGGATAATCGAAAAAAACCTAAAAAGAATTAAACCTGGTATAAATAAATATATTTTATCTTACGTAGATGATTTTTATTGCTGGTTCGTCATTTTCAATCCATCCCCCCCCTTCCCCCCCGAATCATTGACATTTAACTTTATAAAATTATTTTAAAAAGGGGTTTTTTTAATAATTATTGAACAAAAAATTGAGTTTATTATATCGCATTACTAATGTACGTTCAGACACAACCCGAACCTGATTAAGCCGGAGGCCTCGAACACGTAATATTGATATACACTTCTTCTTTTTTTAAAGTTGATAAGAAGCTTGACCCATGGATCAATAAGGTGTGTAAAATTGGTTTGGACAATGGAAATTTGAATATAACCGTATTTCGGGAATCTGATGGCATCGTAGTTTTACCGGTTTCATTATTGATTTGACACGCTAGCAACCGAAGATTTCAGGGGCAAGAACGCGCCATCCAAAATGTATATTATCAATATTTGTATTCATAAAATATTAAGATTTGGAAGTAAAGAGAGATGATCTAGTCGAGGAGTAATAAGACGCTTTAGTATATATATATATACCACTCAAAATCAAAAGTAATCATTCTCATTCTTAATATTTCTCTTCAGTCACTAAATATTCTGTCCCTAATTCTTAAGAATTTCCATAACACATGTTATTCTTATCTATTATAGCCATTCGAGACTTCCGTTACATTTAGTAACAGGCAAAGAATACAGAATATCTGTACGCGCTTTTTTCGATGACCATATAGATGTAGTTAATGAACTTTTATATTATGCCCACAATTATGTCTTCCTAAAACCTTAAATATTTTAAAAACCCTTTTATTATCGGTTACATTAAAAAGTTTATCACGATTTTATAAAAAACAATAATATTTAAGTTAATTTTATTAATATTTTGTTATTTAATGATGGGATTTATTGTATGGGGTACAATATAATATCAATCAATAAAAAAAATAAATGATTTTCAAGCATTAATATTTGGATATTATTGATAAATCATGAATGATCTTGATAGATTCCTTTCTAATAATAATATAGCACAAACTTTCCTTCTTTCCTTCCTTCCTTCCTTTATAATAGAAAAATAAAAAATAAATTAATTATAGACCCACAAAAAAGGGAATTATTTGTATCTAAAATATTTAAGTTTGTATTTTTTTTAAATACAAATTCCCCCTGAGCTTAAAAATATATATTTAATCCTATATTCCAGTTATCATGGTGGAATTCGGTGTTTCCGGTATAAAATAATTAATTGGTAATTTCGACGGAATAGCCAAAATAAATTTATATATGTTTGAGATCAAATAAAACTAGACCTCTAACATCAACACCAACAGATATTTTATTTTATATAAAGAGACATATTTAAAATGACTCCTTTTGCCTAACCACATAAAGTAAATTAAACATATGTTCGATTCTCGGGTGTAGTCTTTCCCTTTGCCTCAACTCTTTCCATCTTCAGCCCTTAGTGGACGTTTAAATGACAGTTTTATTAGCATGTTGCGCCTGCGCTTAAAATATAAGTAGGCTTGCCTCCACATACATTCAAAGGGTTCATCGTATTAAATACCCCTCCCCACCCCTCAAATCCTTTTACTATCCAGTTTGATTGAAATGAGGAATCCTTAGCTTAGCCCTAGCCCCTGTATGTATCCATGAGGGCGAAACGTTCAATAGAATGGATCTATAGGATCTCAATTTAATTAGCATGTACATTATATTTAATCCTCCCCTCTCCTCAATATTATTTGATAATGGTTTGTTTTTTTTTATGAAAGAGAAACAGGAGGAAAGCGTATCTTTCCTAAAACTCTATTTATTTTCGACCAATCGAAAATGTGTAAGATTTGTTGATTGAATGGCTTACGTCAAAACAAAAATTTAATCATATATTTATACGCTAGATGGCGACAGTATTTTTACCGTTTAAGTTTCTGACCCTTCCGTTTAGGACAACGAAACATGTGAGAATTCAAATCCAGAAAGAAGCAAAAAATATGGTTTCTAGTCAAGTGCAACCAAGATTTTACGAGCGGTTCAAAATTTAATATACATTTAGCTAAATCTGCAATCAGAGTTTCGTTAGGATTATCATTCCAAAAAAAAATTAATGTAAAATAAAAGTTTTAAAAAACGATATACTTAAAAGTTTGAAAATGACAACTTCATATTTTCGGAACTATATATATATATGATATCTCAGTTTCTGGTGGGAAGAGGAGTGACGTTTCAATTATGACTTACATTTAGGATCAGCTGATTACAATGATTATAGTATACCCATTCATTCATCTACGCCTTTCAATGGCCGACTTCTATGTATTATCCACTTTTGATCCTTTTATAATGTATGAATCAACAGTCCTAGATTAGTGACAATGTTTATATATAATGGTTTGTTCACTATTTAACGTTTTAATAAGTCACGTGAAAACTAAATGCATATGTAGCCTTTATAAACCATATACTAATTTTTTTTTCATTTAACTCATATTGAACAGGGGGAAGTGTTCAATAGAATAATTTATTTATATCGTTTGAATAATTAATTTAATTTACAAATGAAAAACAATGCAAGTTATTATATATGAGAAAAAACAAGTAATTCAAATAAAAATATATATGTATTTATGGTTCCACGTCATTACAGAGAAACCATTACAAAGAAAACAATTACGGAGAAACTTTTACAGAGAAAACAATTAAAGAGAATGTCGTTTAAAGAGAAAACAATTAAAGAGAATGTTGTTTAAAGAGAATTTTTTTATAGAGAATTATTTTATAGAGAATGTATTTTACAGAGAAACTTTTACAGAGAAAACGATTAAAGAGAATGTCGTTTAAAGAGAATTTTCTTATAGAGAATTATTTTATAGAGAATGTTTTTACAGAGAATGATTTTATAGAGAATTATTTTATAGAGAATGTTTTTACAGAGAATGATTTTATAGAGAATTTTTTATAAAATTTTATTTAAAGAATATGATTATATTATAAAAAATGTTAATCTATATAATATATAACATTTTTGTATAAATTTGTGTAATTATTACTTAGGGTGTGCATATTGTTTTTCTACTGGCCATATACTATGTGTTAACTTTTATTATAAATATTAAATATTTCTATATGTATGAAATACTTACAAAAGACCAATCTTACATCTCAATTTACCATCATTTATTTAATACATTAATATCTTAATTATCTTTTTGCTAAACTTTCTTAAATTTGTTCATCATTTGAAATAAAGTGAGTTTTTTAGAAAGAGATACTAATTTTGAAAGAAATCAGTCCAATAGATAAAATTTAATTTTTTTATATCATTATATTTGGTAGCATTAAAATAGAGTAAAATTGACACAATGCAAAACTCTATTTTTGAATTTCAGAAAGTTTTATAATCTTATATCATGTTTAAATAAAATTTTCGAAGGTTACAAATTTTAAATTATAGATGTGACACACGATCGTACACCTCTATGTGGTTATCAAAATATTTTTATGGCAGTAAAAGTGTTTATCAATTGAAAACAATCTATGTTATGTTATTCTATATAAACGACATTCTCTATCAGTGTTTTCTCTATAAAAGTTTCTCCGTAATTGTTTTCTCGATAAAAGTTTCTCTATAATTGTTTATTTTGTAAATGTTTGTCACTAAAGACCATTTTAGAATATTTTAAGTAATAATTTAATTATTTTTTTAAGTAATAATTTAATTATTTTCTTTTTAAATTTTGATAAATTTTTTTTAAATTATGGCTGAATTTATTTTAAGTAGTCGAAACAATAAGTTACTACTTCTTGATTTTTACTTATTTCAAAAGGAAAAAACATCTAACCAAACAACCTATTGGAGATGTATTCAATTCAATGTGGACGAATGCAGTGGACGTGCAAGAACTAAGAACGGAATCCCTATATTCCACAATCATAAACATAACCATGTACCAGACATTGCAGATATTGAAGCAAGAAGAGAGCTAAATAGAATTAAACAAGTGGCTTCTAGTTCCCAATCTCTGCCCAATAATATAATAGCCGATATATCTAGCAATATATCCATAGCCGCCACTGGTAAAATGCCCAGTTGTTCCTTAATTAAAAGGACAATTCAAAGGAAAAGACGCCAAGTAGGAAGAGCGCCTGCCGTTCCTGTAAGCCTGATTGACTTGGTCATACCAATCGAATATCAATTATCCAATAATAATGAACAATTTTTACTTTATGATAGTGGTCATCATGATCACCGATGCATAATATTTTCTACCATTAAAAATTTACAATTTTTATCAACATGCGATAAATGGTATGCAGATGGCACATTCAAAACATGCCCCCCTCTCTTCCAGCAAATATACACCATCCACGGGATGAAACATAAAACCATTATTCCCGCTATTTATGTTCTGATGGCATCAGGTCGCCAACAAGATTACCTTAATATTTTCAATCAAATTAAAAATTTCCAAATTTTTTTAAATCCAAAAGTTATTATGATTGATTTTGAATTAGCAGCCTTATCTGCTTTTAAACAGTCATTTCCAATGACTGCATGCGCGGGTGTCTGTTCCATATGTCGCAATGCATATGGCGCACGGTCCAGAAAAATCCCCGCATTTGCAATGCATACAAAAGCGAAACTAATTTTGCTATGTATATAAAGATGCTAATGTCACTGGCATATGTCCCAGTTGGGGACGTAATTCACGGATTTGAGGAATTATGTGCCTCCATATTCTATCAAGAAAATAGGGCTATTCTCGCCCCCTTGATAGAATATTTTGAAGAGACATGGATTGGGAAAATGATAGCGATGGAGAGGAGGTCTCCGATATTTGGTATTTCCCTATGGAATTGTTATGAATCGACACTAGCTAGTGAACCGAATACAAATAATTCTGTAGAGGGCTGGCATCGGAGTTTTTCGTCTCATATAAGTTCCCATCATCCAACAATCTGGAAATTTATAAAGAGTTAGTAATTATATTGTATTTTAAATTTTAAAAATCTTTTCATTTATAGCTCTCAAAGACGAAGATAGCCTTAATAGTTATAAATTGGAACAATATTCTTTAGGACTATTAGCTCCAGTGTCAAAGAAAGAATATCGAGAAAGATCCAAAAGGATTCTTCTAATTGTTGAAGATTTCCATTCAAGAACCATGATGGATTATTTAGGGGCTTTATCCCACAATTTAAATTTAAATGTTTAATTTAATAATATAATTGTATTTTTTTATATTGGTATATTATTTATACTATGTTTATTTGGATTTATTATGAATAAAAATTTATTTGATATTTCGAAATGAACATTGCTAACCTCTTATTTGGTATTTTATCTAGGCTTATAATAACTTCATATACAAATGGTATTCTATTCTCTAATTTGGAATTCACAAAATATAAGAAGCGCTCTATATAACATTTTTTTCTTATTTATCATCATTTTAAGATTATCTAAGGTTTATGATATTAAATCACCGATAAATTACACCAAAAGCTCAATAATTATAGTTTTCTCTATAAAAATTTCGCTAGTTATTTATGAAAAATAGTAGTGACTAGTTATATTAAAAAAAAGAAAACTAGTAACTGTAACTAGTTATATTTCTCCAAATTTAGCTACTAACTTAACTAATTACAGTTACATTTCCAAAGTAACTTTTAACAACATTATATAAGGTAATTATAATATTTAATATTATTTCAAATACTAAAAAATTTTTTCCTTGAAATAATTACACAAATTTTTTAAAAAATAATCATATTCTTTATAAAAAATTCTCTATAATAGTTTTCTCTATAAAATAATCATATTCTTTATAAAAAATTCTCTATAATAGTTTTCTCTATAAAATAATTCTCTTTAAACATAAAAAATTCTCTATAATAGTTTTCTCTATAAAATAATTCTCTTTAAACGACATTCTCTTTAATTGTTTTCTCTGTAAAAGTTTCTCTGTAAATTACATTCTCTATAAAATAATTCTCTATAAAAAAATTCTCTTTAAACGACATTCTCTTTAATTGTTTTCTCTGTAAAAGTTTCTCTGTAAAATACATTCTCTATTAAATAATTCTCTATAAAAAAATTCTATTTAAACGACATTCTCTTTAATTGTTTTCTCTGTAAAAGTTTCTCTGTAAATGTTTTCTCTGTAATGGTTTCTCTGTAATGACGCGATACCTGTATTTATATATATATTCTGTTGCCTTAAGATATATAACTAAACTTTTAAATATAATTATTTAAGTATAACTGACATTTTAAATATAAGTAATAAAATAACATGCAACAACTCATAAGCAGTAAATCTATTCCAAACTGATAAGAAACATCAATAGAACCGAAAATATGTAATTATTCCTAGAAATTGCTAAATAGCTTCAAGTGTTCTAAGAAAATGGAAAAATAGAAAATTTATTACTATAAGCCGCATCGCGACTATAAAACCCCGGGACAAATATTTTTAGTCATAAATTATGTGGAAATAAAATAAAGTAAGAGACAAAATCCTGAATAAAAATTCTTCGATATTCGTTAAAAAAAAGAAAGCTACGCAAGTTTATTTATCTTATTACTTCTTTTCTAGCAAATCACTTTTAATCTTAACCACCTTAACCCTGGCCCGAGTGGTTGCTTCCTCAAGCCCACATTACTCTAGTCTCTCTGAGCAACACCTGCCACTCAGAAAAATGATGATTTATTTTTTCGTGACATCAACTTAGGTCTGTTATCTTAAATATATTTTAAAAAAAACTTAATTGTAAAAAAATTAAAATAAAGAAAAACGAAAAAAAATATTAAAAAAACAAAATAATATACAAAAAATAACATTTTTTTTTCTTCAAAAATTAATAAATTTATTTATTTGTATTTTTGATATTTAGGACACACATATTAATAAGGTTGATTTTCATCCTAATCTTTCCATTTTTGGCGGGAATATTTTATTTGATAAACAGGTAAAAAAAAATCAAAATTGAAGAAAACTAGTTAATTAGAAATAAATTGACATTTATTGGCATGGTGTTTTTATGACATTTTGTAGTTAAATATCTTAAATTCTAACAAAGCCTTTTGACTTGAATAGCACAATTATAATGAATATAAAAATATTATATTTATTTTCAGTTTTGCCGAGGGGGGGGGGGTTTAAATACCAGAACATTATTGATTGATTGAATTTTAAAAAATTAGTATATAACCTATTCACCTAAAAATTCTATTTTATCAAGGTGATGGACATACACTTCATGCTGACAAATGACAGGATAGCGGTTATAGGAAGGGCTCGATTTGAGCGAATTTTTTGAAAGCGGCTAAAACTCAATATTTTATTCAGGAAAAAATTATTAAGTACGCCCCGAATATTTTGTTCATAGATGACACAAAATTTAGACATCTAGAAGCTAAATCTGGAGGTTTAGGCGATTTTTCTGGATAAATTTATTAAGTTTTAGAAACGTTTTTAAGACATCGGCTCAGAGCGATCCGTTTAACAACACCCCGGCTAAGGCCGATGCTCAATTTTAACCATATTTTCACTGATTTTAACCTCTCGCGGAGCAGTATGTAATTCATACTATAATACCTAAGGATCTATTGTCTCTGAATATAATTCTAACCGTTTAACATGCTGCAATGTATCGAATAGTTAGTCATTTAAGCTCCTCGCCTTTTTATTTATTTTTTACACCAGCCAGTTATCTTACGTATTATTAGGGATCATAAATATTTTAAGTCACTTTCAATATGGAAGCCAATCACCAATTTTCTTATAAAAAATATATCGGAATAAGAAAAGAAATGTTTTTTTTTTCTTTATTCAAAGGGGGGGGGGATAGTAAAACTTGACTGGCTCAGGTTAGCCGGATGGTGAAACTTTATTAAGATATTTTTCGGATCGGACCGTTATAATTTTTTTTTAAAAGAAAAACGACTTAAATTTTGATTCCTAAGCTTAAAAGAAGTTTGCCAAATTCCGAAAGCCCGTAAAAAATAATTGGCGCATATTGTCCTACACGGGTAGCACAATATTTTGGCGGTCCGATCAGCTGACCGCAGCCCTTCTAGAAGTCTCGATCTCCTATTATCTTCCCTTCCCCCTATAATATATTTAAAAAATTATTTTAAGAGTATGCTTGGAAACTTAAGGTCCCAGGTTAAATCCTGATAAGGTACTGTAATTAAGTTTTACTTCGATGACTGACATGTAAAGATATGTAACAAGATAAATATCCGAGCTTAGAAATGTCAACCCTATTCACCGACATACTTGGGACAGCTGGGTGCTAAGGATACTTGTTCCAATAAATCAAGATACAAAAATTTTTAAATTAGAAATGAAAGGGATAGCACGAATAACACGAAGAGGAGAGAGTCTTATTACACTATATATAAACATTGTCACTAATCTAGGACTGTTAATTCATACATTATAAAAGCATCAAAAGTGTATTTTACAAAGAAGTCGGCCATTGAAAGGCGTAGAAGAATGAATGGGTATACTATAATCAGTGTAATCAGCTGATCCTAAATGTAAGTCATAATTGAAACGTCACTCCTCTTACAACCAGAAAAAGGTGAAAGTGAATTCTTTAAAATAAAAAAATCGCATTATTTTTATTAGAACTGAAATAATTTCCTCAAAAGCATGAATCACGTATAAATAATATAATATTTTTATATTTTAATTTTCTAATATATATATATATATAAAATTTTTCCCAATATTTCCCAATTTTAATAGAAGGAAGAAAAAAAAATTGAACACTCAAATTTTCTCCCAATAATTTTAAAACTATGTTTAATTATTAACAGGCGCGATGGGGAAATCTGAAGCTGCTGCATCCTAAGGGTGCTACTAACTCGATCCCTTTTGATGTCAGGAAATCGATAATTTTATCGGGGTCCATCGCGTCTGCCAGTCTTTTAATTTCGCTATTTTTTTTTTATAAATATTTTTTTAAAAAAGAAAACATATGTTATTTAAAAGTAAATATACAATTTAATGGTGGTCATGTAACGAAAATTTATATATTGGAGAGAGGAGAAGATGTCACTCTAGTGGTGTTGACATTATTATTTATTTCTTTTACGAAAAACTATATTTAATATTATCAAATTAAAATTTAATTTTTCTTACATGTATATAGGAGACATGGGGTCGGGTAAACCTCCGGGGGCAAAACAAACCACTTAATTTCATTTTAAGATTAAATAGACTAGAAAGTCATTTTTTCAAAAATTTTATCCTCAATGTAGCTTTTATTAGCACTCATCAATGGGCAAAGAAAAATACGCAAGAGTTATAACTGACCCAAAAAATCGGTTCTACTAATCCCAGTCTTCCCCTATATATATATAGTAATTCTTTCAAAATATTGGCTCCATATTTTACTCAAATAAAGAAACTAATTTTTTAAAAAAAAACTCTATTAGGATAGGAATAATGCACTAAATTTTGCCGTTTTTATCTTAATTTGTAGCTTAGTTTTCTAAATAAAATTCTAAGTATAAATCAAGTGAAATATTACGCTACAACGCTTTTAGGGACATCACGATCCATTTTCAATTTAAGATTGATATATATCCTATCTATATTTTTTTTTTATAATTATATATAATAAATATATATATATAAATTTTAATAAGCGAAAAGGAAAAAAGGATGTACCATTAACCAAAATAACTCGACACCCAGCCTTCATCTAAAAAATATGGGCAAAAAATAGAAGAAACGCAAGGAATAGATTAGTAAATCAGATCTCCCTCCATTGATAGCAGAAGTGTGTTAGAGCATGGGATATCCGAAGCTCCACCAGCCTCGAAGCTAGGGTCAGACTCAGACCGTGAAAAACAGTTTGCAGGGCTCTAATAAGTGTGTCGGATGGAAGGTAATGAGATATAGAAGATTTATTCTGGTATTATTTGAATTTATATAAAAAATAAAGATGGTGGATTCCATAAGAAGAGCAGGCTTTTACTATTGTAGAGTGATACTTAGCGATATGTAGAAACCAAATTGATTAATTAATAAAAAGCACTTCAGCTCTCTAAGTACGATTCTCAAAGTGTTCACTAGAGTGTACGGAGTTTACATTGTTTTCTCTCTAAATGAGAACTGTAGAGAGATATGTCTTAAGATGGTTCACATGGAAGTAATACGAATAAACAAGTGATTACATAAAGGTAGGGGAGGCTAAGAAGCCATAAAGAGAAGGAGTGCAATACAATTTTTTTTCCTCTTTTCATTTAATTAAGGGTGCTTTTTTTGTGTGACTCTAACTACAAAGAATACAAAGGTGATATAAATAATTGGGTAATTAGTGCTGAATTATGGCGTCTCTGCCAATGTTTTAACTTTTATCAGCATTGAGTAAACTTCATCTCTTCCAAGGATTTTTATAGATTTATTTAGGAAATTTCTGATTGCATCAATTATGACGGATGAAAAATCTTTTAGAACTTCCAATCAGTTTACTATAATAATCTTTTGTTTTGTGTTATTGTAAGGGACAGCGAAGAAATTTATCGTTAACCAATTCTTCGTCAAGTCATGTGATTTGTTTAACAGAATCTGATTGGGTTACCCGTCTAGTATTACTCTAAGGTTTAGGCTTTCAATTTGTAATATTTATTTTTGAAATATTAACTAACGCGTTTGACTGGATTGAAAGAAGCATATATATGTACTAACTAGTAAGGAAATATTAACTGCTGCAAACTGTACCTCATTCTGGCTGCATCATTTAGAAAATTTGACTAAGAGAATGGGCATGAATGATTGCGCAAAAATCTTACTTGGATTTATATCCGTAATATAAAAAATTCTAGATATCCGGGTATACTGTCTTACCCGGAGTCGCGTATATTTAACTAGTTAAATGGAATCCGTGTGTAGAGCCTCACAAAGCCCAGGCGGTTTAGGATAATCACTCGCGAATTAACTCAATACAGAAGTTTAAGCCCCTTTTTTGATCATGTATACTCAGCCTATTTGATAGTATAACCAATTTTTTCACAATTTAATAACAGCCTAAACATATCATTCTATGTCTACTAATTGGGGTAAATGGAAGAATAGATGATCAATATAGCCAATATTTTGGACAAAGATGATATTAGCCTAGAAGAAATACTTCTTAAAAAGGTTTTAAAGGTATGATTTGAAGTATTTTATTTAATAATAATAATAGATTTATATTCTACCACTCAATGATTGTCAATCACAAACTATTTTGTGGCTAATAGAATGTTAAAATTTTCGAAACAGCTATTTTATCAGATGGTAGTGACTTGTGTCACGGGACGAGAGAAATTCAAAATGAAATGGAGGAATAGATTAAAAATGAACCCACGTGATTGTTATAGTTTAGTATACAATTTTTAATATTTAGTTAAGAGGACAATATATATATATATATATATTGGGCGTTAAAGATTTGATTATTATCAGAGTTGTTAAAAGATACCTAATAAATGGATCTAGATACAGATACATCTTCTAGAATAATATCTATATACAGATATTTAAATCAAAAATCTATCTAGATACAGATAAGATACCACATTTTTATATCTAGATACTTTAACAACTCTGATTATTATTATTTAATATTTTGCTTGAAATCTAAAAAAAAAATAAAAGAGGAAATATTTATGGAAAAAACTGTATTGTTGTACCAGCGTCTAGTTCTAAATAAAGTATAAGTTGTCTCTTAGTCTATATCACCTAAGATGTTAAAAGCTTGCATACTCTATTCTTAAAGATAATGGAGCACATTGCAAGATATGTTTTTTTTTGTTTGACCCCGGCTAAGTTCAAGATATATATATATATGTTTAATTTCTATAATTTACAAGTCCTGATAAAAAAAATAATATGAAATTTAAGATATTTTGACAAATAATATTATCTAAGAAAAACTATACTACCACCACCCCCCCCCCCCCACACAGCTAATTCCTGCTTAGGCGCTTGACAAGTTGGGGGGGGGTGATGCCCACCACAAATAATCAAAAAATATTTTACGTTTCTAATCAATAATAAACAAAAAAAAATTAAGTGTATTTTTATTTCAGGAAACTTGATTCGCATTTCACTCTTATCTAGAATGAATCCACGGGCTGAATTTCTATATGTATATGACAAATTAATTTGTTTTATTTTTGTGTTTCGTTTAAAATGTGGAAATATTATTTTATACAAATAACTTTACGAGGTAATAATCCATGAATGTTCACTGCTACCATTTTTTCATCGTGCCTATGATAAATCATCATCAACGGTCCTGTAACTAAATTTCCATATACATCGTCTTTCAATTCTTTATAACATTTTATTTTGATATTCAAAATTATATTATATAAAAATATTTTTATAAAAAAAAATATATATATTGTTTATTAATATAGTAATATTAAACATTTTAAATCCCCCAAAAAAATTAATTAATAATATTTTTTAAATGCTGGCTTTACGAGTTTCGAAAAATTCCTTAACAATTTATATATCTTTTTCTTTATAAGAGTTATAACCAATTATTTTTTTTACAAGGTTTCAAAGATCGAACCTTAAACTACAATATAAAAACCTAATTGAACTATTCGGACCTAATATTATTTAGATTTTATTTTATGTATCTATACATGTTAAACGAAAAATTTTGATGATTCGTAGTATTCATAGAAATGATAAAGTAATTGATGCGTGTACCAGTCAGGAATGAATATCGAATAACCAAAAAAAAAGAGAATACAAATAAATTAAATTATTTGCTTTGTTAGAAATCTAATGAATTAACTTAGTACTAATGATTGGAGTTCTGATAAAACAATATAATTAAAAATAAGTATAACACAAATTTAATAATTATATTTAACCCAATCTGTTAAATAATTATACGTATTTATGTTAGCGTCGATGTGTTTTTTTCCCGGCAAAGTGTTATTCTAACTCTAAATTCAATTTTTTGAGCGCGTTTTTTTTAAATTTAAAAATTTAAAAATATCATTTTACCGAACATGTGTACCGTCATGTTTAGAATGCCCACCCTATAAATTTCAGACACCTTCGCCCGAAGAAGATATAATTTTATCTAAAATTCTTCCGTTATTTTTTTTATATATATTTATACGTGACCTCTAGAGTTAGGGTTAGGCACGTATTCTAAACATGCTGGAACACACTTCCCGGTAAAAAAAATCAAAATTTTAAATTTCAAAAAAATGGCGCTCAAAAAACTATTTGCCGGGAAAAAAAAACGCACACATTGACGCTAACACATATATTTATAAATTTAAATTTTCTGTTTATCATTATTAAAAAAAATTACTTTAAAAAATAAACTTTAACTCCCCTCTATTGGTGCTGTTAAACGGGTCGGTTTGAGTCGATTTTCAAAAACCGCCAACCCAATGTTTCATCCAGAATAATATTATGCAAGCCCGAAGATTTTACTCGTAGAAGGAACTAAGGTCTTGACATCTATTGGCGAAATGTCATAGCTAAGGGCAATATTTTTCTGGCCAAAATATCCGGCTCAAAGCGAGTCGTTTAACAACACTTCCATTTATTATCCGGTAGAAAAAATCGATAGAAACAAACTAAGGTTCACCCTTTTTCTAACGCCATGTTATTATTTAATTTTTACCAATACCATTTTATAATTACAATTATAAAATTTGCCTATTTAAGTACAAAATATATAATGGTCTGTCTTGTGAGATTTTTTTTTTAAGTATTAATTTTAAATTATACAATAATAATGATGGGGCAATTTTTTGGTGTTTCAAATAATATATATTTTTGTTTTTATGATTATTGGGATATTGTGATGGTCAGTGAACGGATTTACCGAATATCATATTGAATTCATGATCGTCGCTGGCTCCATAGTATTCCATCCCCCTTATACAATTCCATTGCATGGTATACTATATTAGGAATATTTTTTTTAATCGATAAAAATATATAATATATATATCATATAAGTTCGAAAATAGATATTAATATATTCATTTTTTAAAAAACTAAATAATTTTGTTTTGTGGAATAAAAAATCTATAACTATTATTGGAATTGAATGTTAGTGGGGGGGGGGGGGATATTTAAATATAATGCGCAATCGTAAATCAAAATAAAAAGAATGTAATGATTCATTAGAACATATATTGGTTTTCTTTGTTCCCAAACCAGAAACTTTAACATTATGAGAGCAAAAAAATATCTAAACACAACATTATTTTATTCCTTCTTAGACCCCCCCCCCTCCTGCCACCGCCATCTTTTTTTTTTAAAAAACCATTCTTTAGAAACAGATTTTCATTTTTCAAAGGAAACATTTTTAATAAGAAATATTAATTTTTTTTTTTGCAACTAAACTTTAAAAATTAGATCTTATTAAGGCTGCATTCAAAGAGGAGACGGATACGTTATTTACACCCGTTCCGTCAAATGTCTATCTCATTAAAAATGATAAATATATGTTCAAAGTGAGTCCGTTTCGATACCTTCCTAACTTAAAAACCCGGCAAATTTTGACTTTTTATAGAGCGTTATAACGTTTATACTTATAAATTTTTATAAAAATGAAAATCAATATATATATATGGTTTTTAATGAGATTGACGTTTGACGTAACGGATGTAAAAAAAAACGGGTCCGTCTCCACTTTGAATGCAGCCTAAAAAAAAATTTTGAAATAAAAAGAAAGTCATGGTTAATGTTGTTAACCGGCTCGATTAGACCCGGTTTTTAAAAACCGGACCGGCTCGATTAGACCCGGTTTTTAAAAACCGGCAAACTCAATATTTTTAGCCAGAAAAAATATTGTTTTAAGCCCCGAGATTTTGTTAACAGATGTTCAAACCTTTGTGCCATCTATGAGCAAAATCTTAAGACCTGCCATAATTATTTTCCTCATAAAATATTGAGTTTCTGGTCATCGATAAAAGGTAAAACGCATGCGTGAAAATTATTTTGGAACTTGTAAAAGGAATTCTATTGGATGAATATATAACTTTTTAAAAAAAATATCATAATTTCGTCAAATCATCTAAAAAAGAAATAGGGTCATCGATAAAGGTAAATCGCATGCGCGTAAATTACTTGGAACTTGTGGAAGGAATTATTTACTTTTTTTTTATTGATTGGAGGAATTTATAAATCCTTTGCTCAGCCATGACTTCCGTTTGTGTTTTTTTTTAAATATTAATTATTTAAGCTATTTTTTTTTTTTATAAAGATTATTATTTTTTCCATAGTACAACCAACTATTCTTATATAGTTCGGAAACATGGCCAACCAAAGTATCAGACGAGAGAAGTCTACAAACTCTGGAGATGAGAATGCTGAGGATGATTGCTGGGGTTACATGAAAGGATAAAGTGCGCAGTACAAGAATACTAGGAAGTTTAAAGGTAGTAGTGCCCATTAAGACTAAGATAATGGTAAACAGACTTAAGTGGTCGGGCAACGCAATGAGAAGACCTATGTGAACTATATAGGAAATAAGGTTGAGAGTTTGGAAGTGATGGGCAAACGTAAAAGAGGAAGGCCAAAAACTTCAATGGGGCTATTGAGTTAGAGCCAAAATGAAGAAAGTATAAATTAGATAAAAGAGAATTGTTTGTTTGTTTGTGTTTTTTTCTTTCTTTCTTCCTTTCCTTTCCTTTCCTTTCCTTTCCTTCCTTTCCTTCCTTTCCTTTCCTTTCCTTCCTTCCTTCCTTCCTTCCTTCCTTTCCTTCCTTTCCTTCCTTCCTTTCCTTCCTTTCCTTCCTTCCTTCCTTCCTTCCTTCCTTCCTTCCTTCCTTCCTTCCTTCCTTCCTTCCTTCCTTCCTTCCTTCCTTCCTTCCTTCCTTCCTTCCTTCCTTCCTTCCTTCCTTCCTTCCTTCCTTCCTTCCTTCCTTCCTTCCTTCCTTCCTTCCTTCCTTCCTTCCTTCCTTCCTTCCTTCCTTCCTTCCTTCCTTCCTTCCTTCTTCCTTCATTTTTTCAGGTCTGGTTAGAGATTTTAGCTTAGCCCGGGCTACATAAATAAATTTTAAAAAAATTAATGGGACATTTTAGGGGATTCGTTTTTTCAGCTAAATAAAATCAATCAATATTAATCTATATAAAGGTTTTTAATTTAATTTAATTTTATTTTATCATTTTTGTAATTTTAAATATGAAATATGAAAATACAAAGGGTTTTTAAATGAATGTGATAAAATAACAATTTTTATAATTATAATTCAGTATTTTTTTAATTTATATAAAAATTAATATAAATTAGAGGTAGTTTCTAAAGTTCGTTGCAAAATTGGCTCAAATTTCTAGGGTGCAAATACTGCACATGCTAGAATACATTTCCGGTTATATGGGATTTTAAAATTTTTTAAAATCCAAGAGATTCCGAATCCCCATACGACATCACGTTAGAGCGTCAATGTGTTATTTTATTTCAGCTTTAAAATCATTTTTTTGGTCGCGTTTTTTTTTTAAATTTAAAAAAAAAAATCAGATTTTTAACCGGAAATACACTTCATCATGTTTGGAATACCTATCATGGCGGCATACATTTCCGTTAGATTTTTAAAAATTTAAACAAAACGCCAAAAAACGATTTAAATTTGAATAAAAAAAAATATACAACACAATGTAGCTAACATATATTCGATAATAGGAGGAGATTTGCAGTATTCCGTTTTGCCCCGGATTTATTTAAAAAAAAGACCTGGGCCACATACCCGGTTGGGGTTGACCTTAGCGGGCTTTAGGTCTTGGTCCGCAGGTCTATGTTACGGATATTTACAAAATGTCCCTAAAAAGAGTTTAATCAAAAGCTTGCTTCTAATTATTTACAAAAAAATTATTTAACTTTTTGACTTATTTTCATTTAGTTTATATATTGACATACTATATTTATCTGTTTGAAGAGATGAGGGGTAGAGTGGAGTGTAGGAGAAAATTGCTCGAATCATATTCTATGAAAATAGCAAGACTGGCGATGCATTTATTAAAAGTGTACATCGATAGAAAACAGCTGGGGACGCCATTTTTGGTTGCCCATATCATTGTTGAAAATTTTTTTTAACGATAGCGCCAATTTATTTCTATGTCCTGACGCAAACTTTATTAAAGAATTGATTGATCCTTAGAAGATAGTAAGAAAGCAAAGGAAATCAATTTGAATAATTATGGGTTACAAAATGGCGGCTCCAGCTGATTTGCATTTCAACCGACACCTTTAAATGCCCTATTATGAATGACTTCGTCAGTCTAGAGGTTATTATTATTAATATGTCATTTGGTGAATAGTCAAATTTTTTTAAGAGAGTAAATTGTTCGGTTAATAATTAATTTATTGTATACTTTTGAAAGAAGGAAATATTAAATTTTGGTTTAACACAAAAAAGTAAATAAATATATTTTTACGTTTTCAGAATTTTTCCGAGGCGTGCAGCAATCATACTTACTTTCGACGTGTCCCAATGACACCATGGCAATCAAAAAATAGAAAAATGTCTTTATTATTTATTTATTTTTTTTTTAAAAAAATGATAATTTTATATAATACTTTGGTTTGTAAATAAATAAAAAAAATCATATAAAATTTTAGGGGAAGATACATTGGGAGAACTAGTGTTGTTAAAACAGCGTAGACATCCTTATCCAGAAATATTCTAATCAATCTTCAAGTTGAGACACTCAACTTAGAAGCTTAAATTCAATTTTTTAGGCTAAAAGCTTGACTCTAAGACACAATAGAGATGGTCAAGGTTAGGGAATTTACCGACATTTAAGAGGAAGATACATTGGGCGAACATCGCAATTTAATTGAAAGAAAGTGTTGTTAACCGGGTCGATTCGAGCCGGTTTTTAAAAAAAATGGCTGACTCAAGATGCCAGGAAAAAATAGGGTCTAAGAGTAAAGATCTAGCCACTTAGATGTTCAATCCTATGTGCCACTTATGAGCACCATCTTTAGGGATTGAGTAATAGAATTCTGGATAAAATATCGAGTTTCGAGCCGTTTAGCAACATTAATTGTAAGCCAAATTAAAGTTCCGATGATTAAAACCTCCCCTTATTCGCAGTTTAACGCGAATTTTCGGTGAAAGAATAACATTGGAGCGTATTTTTGTATAATTCGCTGCGAATTTCGGGATAAATTCCGACTGAGAAAGGGGGGGGGGAATAAGTTTTTAATATTTAAATGATATATTAAACCTGTAACATGGTCATTGTTTTTCCTTCCAAAAAAATGTATATGTTCTAATATCCGAATTAAATATTATTTTTTTTCTTAGAAAATGTCGAAATTATTTTAATGAAAATAAAAAAATTTTAAATATGGCCGATCCAAAATTATTTATTTTTTTTTGTAATATTTAAAAAAAATAAAATATGGAGGAGGGAAGGAAGTTAGTAGGAGGTGGAAAAAACAAACAACAACAAAATGTTTATAAAATTTGTTAGATAGTCAGCAAAAACATTAGTATATTAGTTTTAATAATATATTGTAGATAGAACCTTATAATTTTAAATAATATAAATTTTTTTCTTTTTTTAAAAATTGTTATATTATAGTAACCCTTTGGAAAAATATTAGGGGGGGGGGTGAAATATAATATAATGTTGACCATCTCTACATTTAAAATAAAATTAAGAAAATAATATAAAATTATCAGAGATTTTGTTAGAAAGATACTTTTAAAATGGATCTTGATACATCGTCTAAAATGTTAGCCAGATACTAGTGTTTGTAAAACAATGGCTGACTCAAACATTATAGCCAGGTAAAAAATGATGCCTACAAGCGTCGATATTTCGCCAAATAGATGACCAATCCTGTGTGCCCACTATGAACACGATCTTTACGCATGCGCAATATTTTTCTGGATAAAATATCGAGTTGGCCGTTTTTAAAAATCGAGTCAAATTGAAGGGTCAATTAGTCGAAAGAAGGAAAATAAGATAAAAAAAAACTTTAAAAAAAAAAATTTTATATTTTTAAATTAATTGGTGTCTAGGGTCGGGCTGACAATATTTTCATTTCCGGTCGGGTCATCCGGGAGAATTTTAAAATAAATCGCCGGTTTGATAAATTTGGCCCGATGCAGATCACTTAAATCGAGGCGTTATCTTTTTTTTTTGCGTTTTTTTTTTCAAATAGCTTATTTTAAATAGTGTAAAAGTATATATTTATGAACGTTTTTTTCCCGCTAAAAACGCGGCGCTTTCAGTAGCGGATATGATTAGCTCCTTAAAAAAAAGTATTTTTCTTTCTTTCTAACTCTAAAACTTGGTTCCATTTTTATTTAAGATTTTTTTTAGATAGAACCTTATAATTTTAATAACAAAATTTCATCTTTTAATAATGTGATATTAGTGAGGAGGAGGGGAGGGGTGAATATGCAGTTCTCTTGCCAGGAATTAAACCTGAAACCTTCGGTTTCCAAGGACAACAACATAAACCACTGGGCCAACACCCCCAAAAAAATTTAGGATGGTGAATATAATAAAATGTTGATCAACGCGCTACAAAAAAAAATGTTTTTTTTAAAAAATTATCAACAAAAAATAAAATAAAATAGTTCTGCCTATGATATATCTATTTCGATATTTAACATATATCAGAGACCGCAGGACCGAACCGGCCAGAACCTGGCACACGGGTCGGGCCGTATTTTAATTTTTTTAAATATACACGGGCCGAGCCTGGCCTGGCCGGATATTAAAACCTAATATAAATATAATCTTTTTTTTTTTAAAAAAAAATCCGGGTTTAGCTTGAAAATTAGAAAACCGGGCCGGGCCTAAAAATGTAAAATCCGGGTTTAGCTTGAAAATTAGAAAACCGGGCCGGGCCTAAAAATGTAAAATCCGGGTTTAGCTTGAAAATTAGAAAACCGGGCCGGGCCTAAAAATGTAAAATCCGGGTTTAGCTTGAAAATTAGAAAAACCGGGCCGGGCCTAAAAATGTAAAATCCGGGTTTAGCTTGAAAATTAGAAAACCGGGCCGGGCCTAAAAGTGTAAAATCCGGGTTTAGCTTGAAAATTAGAAAACCGGGCCGGGCCTAAAAATGTAAAATCCGGGAATTAGCTTGAAAATTAGAAAACCGGGCCGGGCCTAAAAATGTAAAATCCGGGAATTAGCTTGAAAATTAGAAAACCGGGCCGGGCCTAAAAATGTAAAATCCGGGTTTAGCTTGAAAATTAGAAAACCGGGCCGGGCCTAAAAATGTAAAATCCGGGTTTAGCTTGAAAATTAGAAAACCGGGCCGGGCCTAAAAATGTCAAATCCGGGTTTAGCTTGAAAATTAGAAAACCGGGCCGGGCCTAAAAATGTAAAATCCGGGCTGGGTGGGAAAAAAATTTTTAGAAAAAAATTATACCCGAGCCGTGCAAAATGGTACCAAAGGGTAAATTAGTAAAAAACGAAAAACATTCAAAAATAATTTTTTTTTATTAAATATGGCCGATTCAAAATTATTAATTTTTTTTTGTAATATTTAAAAAAAAAATAAAACATGGAGGAGGGAAGGAAGTTAGTAGGAGGTGGAAAAAAACAAACAACAACAAAATGTTTATAAAATTTGTTGGATAGTCGGCAAAAACAAAAGTATATTAGTTTTAATAATTTATTGTAGATAGAACCTTATAATTTTAAATAATATAAATTTTTTTCTTTTTTTTTAAAAAATTGTTATATTATAGTAACCCTTTGAAAAAATATATTGGGGGGGGGAGTGTAATATAATATAATGTTGTTTAAAATAAATTAGGAAAATAATAAAAATTATCAAAAAATAAATAAAAATAATAATATCTATTTTACAGAGATTTTGTTAAAAAGATACTTTTAAAATGGATCTAGATACATCAAAAAGTTATCCAGATACTAGTGTTTATTATAACGGTTCCATTTGTGCCGATTTTTAAAAATGGATGACTTTAGCCAGGAAAAAATAATGCCTAAGCGTCGAGATTTCGCCAATTGGATCATCAATCCTATGTGTGCCAACTATGAGCACGATCTTTGGGCATGCGCAATATTATTCTGGATAAGATATCGAGTTAATTGACCCGTTTAACAAGGCTACGTAGATACAGATACAATTTTTATTATATACAAAAAAAATTTTTTTACAAATTTTTAAATAAGGGGTAATAATTTTTATTTGTCAGCTATGACTCAAAAATTATGTCCACTTGAAACATTTTCTATTGTTCTGCTTACCAGCCTTTATTTTCTCACTTCCCAAAGATTATACGTGTCTTTCATCATTTCTAATATTTGCCCAATAAACCTATACGCTTAATGATTGAAGGCTAAAAACGTGATAGGCCTGATTGAAAGAAACCTCCATAACCTGGCATATCCATCTCTCTGTTGAACATACCACCTTGTCCAATAAAGAGTGTCGGTCCTGTCATCACTCACTCTCTTTTTATTTTCTAGACATTATATCAACAAGTTTGGCATGCCTCTAGACTTCAAAATTATAAAAATTTAAGATTAGAAAGTTAATATAATTTTAAGAATATTTTTATTTCAAAACTAATGGGGAAAAAAAAATATATTAAATTAAGGATATTTCTTTAAAATATAATGTTGATCCAAGCAATAAAAAAAATACATGTTTTTCACGTTTTTAATAATAAAATAAAAAATCAGGAAATAATATATTATATTTAATAAAATTTTATATAAATATAGTTTTTTTTATGTCTGAAAAAATAAAATTTATGCTATCGCTTATGAAATGTGTGTGTTTTTTTTTGGGGGGGGGGGAAGAATGTTAACACGTAGATATCCGATACGGCCATTATTATTAAAAAACTATTTTCTGTATCAGAAGATAATATAGAGTTCTAGAGTAAAATCATCGATCTTAGACGGAGGAGTGGGTTTAAATGATCGAAATCCCACCAAAAAAAAACAAATCCGATTCGGACTTTCAAAAAATAATAAATAAGCGGAGAAGTAGAAAATAATCGGATACCTGCAGATGTATACCATTTGTAAGTACAACCCGGCCCGGCCCATATCCTAGTATCTTCCTTTCCCTCTATAATATATTTAAAAAAAATTATTTTAAGAGTTTCATTGAGTATTTATTTTTTTTTGCACTTCTTATAATGATAAAATAAAATGTCGGAGTGGTCTAGTTGGTTAATGAGGTATGCTTGGAGGTCGAAGACATCAGATTCGATCCTGATAATGATCTGTAAAATTATTTTAGGTTTTGATTCGATGACTGACATGTAAAGACATGTGATAAGATAAATTTCCGAGCTTAGAAATGTCAACCCTATCCACCGACAGGCTTGGGACAGCTGGGTGCTAGGATACTTGTCCAATAAAGCCATATGAAAGATACAAAAATTATAAATTAAAATATAAGATCCAGCATGAATAACATAAAGTGGAGAGAGTCATTGAAGGAGATTACAACCTGAAAAAGGTGAAAGCTAAAAAAAAATTAAATATTTTTTGAAATTCGTTAAAAATAAAATAAATAAAATCACATTATATTTTTATTAGAAATCTGAAATATTTTCCCCATAATTATTGAATCCTCTTCAAATTATAATAATATTTATTTTTTTATTTTAATATAAAAAAAATTTTCCCAATATTCCCCATAATTTATAAACTACGATTGATTATTAACAGGCGTCAGTGGGAATTCTGAAGCTGCTGCATCCTAAATATCCTTCTAAATTTTATCCCATTTTTATTTCAGGTATTCAATAATATGATTGGCGTTCTTCGTGTTTGATTGACATTCTTACAGATTCCCTATTCATTATTTAAATATGGAAGAATATGTTATTTAAAAAAAGAATACATAATTTTATTGGTGAGTCTCGATAATTTAAGGAGATAAGAAATTATTTATAGGAGAGAAGGAGAAGATGTCACTCTAGTGTTGCTTAAATGGCTCAAGTTTTGAAACAGACTTTTAAAAAAAACCAACTAACTCAATATTTTAGCCAGTAGTACACTGCCTCTAGTTTTCGCTAACAGATGTTTTCAATTGCGTAATATTTTTCCGACGCCATTTTAACAAATGGGCTCTGATTTATCTATTTAATAATGCTAGATGTCGCTATGGTTTGGAATAGTAAAAAAAAAATATATAATTGTATGGTAAGTGGAATTGAAGTGATCAATCCCAGATATCTTAGATTATAAAATCTTTCTACTTATAAGAAGCGATTTCAATAATGTTTGCATCTTCCATTTTTTTTCTTCTTTTCTTTAGTTTACATTAAATTTTCCTTTAAATGTTTTTAAATTCAATT